TGGGGTTTGAAATCGGCGGCAGATAGCATTTAGTGGGAGAGCGGAAAGACCAACTTGTCAATCCAATCCAGACCAAGGAGATTGAGATTGGAGTCTGAACTATAACAAACATCGTTGATTGTAGTGTCACCGTAGGTGACAGAGCAAGAAAGCTGACTGGTAAGTCGAATCGAACCACCACAGGCATTGGTTGCCTTTTGAGAAGTAACTTGAAAAATTGGGCTACCTAGTGAACTCCACAGCTCGTTAGAAATTATCGTGATGTCGGATGCGGTACCTAGTTGAAGATTTTCGGGATGATCGTTGCTTTTCACAGAAACAAATTTTCGGCGATAAAACACATCCAATTTGAATGTAGCTAGAAGGCTAGGGGAATGAACGGCTCGAGTAAGACCTCTTAATCGCCGGTTCGGTTTCACGGGCCTCCTGAAACTGGCCCGAAGCTGACAAAATCCGTCTTTGTGGCCACCGTTCCCACATCGGTGGCGTCTGGACGAGCAAAAACGAACGAAGTGCCATTCACCGCAGTGCCAGCACGGAGATGGTGTCTTCTTAATGGCGTAATGTGGTGGGTGACTGGTGTTGACAGGACGTTTGGAAGCTTCCACAGAGTGAATGGAACTGAGAGTGCGGTCAAGATTCTGGATCATGGTCGTATCATGTCTCAGATTTATGAGGCGCTAGCATTCAGTAGTGACAGTTTGTAACGTCATCTGGGGTTCTGTTCAACTTTGCTCAAAAGTCGCGTACATATATCGGCATCCTTTGGCGATTGAAGGCCACATATGAACACAAGGCACTTAAACTGTCGTCTGTGAGAGAGCGTAGCTTAAAGCGTTCGTATTCCCGATTAGTCACGCCGGCATAAGTGACGAAATCATTTGGGTCACGTTCCACAATGTTAACGAATATTGAAAAGTCTTGATTGTTCACCGAATATTTGTGTAAGTGTCTGCACCGTTTCATCGAATGACCGATCACGTGGGTTCTGTAGTATGATGTACTTGGAGTATTTTTCTTGTTCAGTGGAACCGAGTTTGCGGAGCAGAAGGCGAACTTTCCATGCGTCGTCACGATGGACAAACTCAACGCGGAATAAGTCTTCGTATCGTTTGAACCCAGAATCAAATGTTAAGTTGGCCGCAGGATCAACCAAAAACTCGCTAATCCTGTTGGCAGCTTGTTCACTAGACTCAGCGATGTAGGGTTGGCTAGACTGTCCTAGCGAAGATGCGGCAAGGCATTCAGTAATCAATTCCATCAGCCTCATCTGCTGCTGCAGGATCAGCTTGATATCACCACTGTCGATGCCCATTGATAAAGCAGGGCCCGTCGCCAGGTTGTTGCGATCCTACGATCACCAACGCAATTCGGAACAAACACTGTTGTTCTAAGAAACTAGCCTGATTTTTGCTGCTTAACACTCGTACGCACATCTTCGTTGCGGACACACTGGTGCCATACCACACCAGCAATGCTTCGCAGACAACGGTGATCAAAGACTTGAGGGCGCCTCAGATCGCTAGATAGAATGGGTCGGCTCACTCCCATAAAGTAGGATTACCTCACTGTGGCCTTTCAGACCGAGGGAAGCCACTTCCCGATGCCACTTATGTCGCAGAATCAGAAAAGGGCAATTTTGACTTTTGCAATGCGTGTATGAGCTTCAGTCGGTATGTTCCCGTCATTTCCGATGTAGCTGCCTGGGCGGGAGAAAGTAAGAATTGCCTAGGAAATCCATCATTTTAGCGAATGATCGATTATTAACGATTATCGCATCGATTTCGAACGTTCCTGAATGTTCTAGTTACTGCAGTGACTAAAAACCACATGCCACGTCGGCAAAAAATATGGGGAACCACTAATTTTGGTAGTTGACCTTCCAATTCTAGAAGTCGAAGATCAGTAAGAGACCTATAAACACAGCCAAGGTCCGCATTAGTTGTACAGTGTTTGTTGACGGGGATTAATACGTTGTTTTGTCAAGATCATTGGCGTTTTGCTTTCTCCTTCGGTTGGGCTGGAAGATTTGTGGAGCAGTACAGTGTCAATTTCGGAATCGTTTATAGGGAGGTGATAACACTGGAAAGGTAGGTGAAGTGATTACCTCTCTCGGGTTCCTCGCCATCAAGTGGTCGTCAAGTCCTGCAACAACACTGCACTTTGAAGTCGCTAAGGGCATGCCAAAGAATATGACCACTCTCGAGTTATTTAGGTTTGATAGGTCCATCCCAGCATCATTAGAAAGCAAGATATTATTGTCCGCATAATGAAGATCATTTGGCTTTCCACCAGTTAGCATCTGAACACCTGCATCGTGAAGCACCGCAAGGGAACATTCTATGATGCAGTCCACGAAGAAGGTGCATAAAAATGGGGATATTGGACAACCCTGACGAACGCAACTTGTTGTCGGAAAGGCATCCGACAAATCACTGTAAAGTCTGACGCGACCTGTGATGTTCGAGTACATGGCACGTAAAATGCTCACATAATTCATGCGGACGCTTTTTCGTGCAAGGATTTTGAGCAGAACGGATCGATCGACTGAGTCGAACGCACTCTTGAAGTCGTGGAACAAAGCTATTGTCGGTCTGCGGTACGTGTGGCGCTGCTCTGGCACCTGCCGCAGTCTATACAGCCCCATGCTGGGCGTAAACTTGCTTACTCTTCCCTACTCATGGATTGTCGTTCCACAGTACGCGACGAACGAGAATCGAGGCCAATACTTTTGTCACCGCGGGCGTTAGTTTAATACCCCTGTGGTTAGCACAATCGGCGCTACTGCCCTCCTTGTACATTGCCACTATAATCAATTTGTTTCAGTTTGCTTGGAAGGCATCTTCCTTCCAGACCTATTCGAGCATGGAAGTCAGTGTTTTGCAGAGCATCTCACCTCCATTCTTAAATAGTGCAGGTGGGAGGGAATGCGGGCCAGTATCACGAAAACAATTAAAGGCTTTGATCGCATTTCGGACTTCAGCCTGTGACGGAGTCTCTAAACTAGCCGTCTATGGCTGCACCTGCATCACTTGAGTAGGTAGGGGTCCAGAAGCAGCGGGCTAACTGAACTTTCAGATGTCCTCCGCCCAACCAGCCGCACGGCGCACCTTAATGTTAATCATGGCACCCGCGCTGTCTCTGATTGTCTAACTGACGCCTGGTCTTCTGGGACCAGTGGTGCGGATCACCTGGACGAGCCTACTAATCCTGCCTTCTCCATCTATTGAGCCCTACCAGTCCCTAGGCTTCCTTGTCACGACGCAGGCCTCGCTTTAGTTCGTGCCTAATAGCACGTCTGGTCACATTGTGCTCAGAGCCAGCCGGGAGTTTTCTTCTGGATTACCTTATGTTCGCCGACCTCTCGGATATCCAGTGAGTGATGCGGTGACGAATGATAGTGCTGCAAGCCGAGGCTTCTGCATGGTGTATGACGACTGAGATGCTATTCCAGTGAAGCTCAGTGTCATTAGGGCAAGAGTGAAGATTCGGTATACAGGTCATCTTGATAGGCTTGCCTGACCGAGGGTTGAGACAATTTCTCAGTTGCCACTCGAGGGAGATGCTTGGTAAAGTTCATGGGAAAATGACAGCGTACCAATGCATGATCAGAGTCGACGGAAGTATTCCAGTGCAGGTGAGAATCTCGGATGGAACCACGCTACCTGTAACTTATGGCAATTTTCTGTATCTGTCTCCATTGCTGGCTAGCTACAGGAGGACACCAAGTGGCATTTCGGCGCCCACTGTATCTAAAAGCAGTGCTAATAAGAAACAGCCGGTGCTCCGCGCCCAGTAGCGACAGCCGCCCACCGTTGTCCGTCCGGTCGGAGTTAAGCTCATGATTACCACCTAGCAGGGCTACTAAAGAGCCCAGACGACCCGCTTGCGCATTCATATCCTTTTTAACCACTATGATATCTGAACTGGTAACACGGTGTAGTAGCGTGTTTAGTTCGTGATCAAATGTGTCCTTAGTATCAGAATTGTAGCCGATGAGAGTATGAGCGGAAACCACCAACAGACAGCGTCTAGTGCTGCTTTGTGAGTCAACCTTAGTTATGTCATCAAGCGGACTGCACACAAACGGCTATTCACGGGAATGCAATCAATCAGCGATGACTCAGCCTTAGAGCTGAGAACAACGTGCACTCCAGCCTTACCAGTGGTTACCACATCAGCGTCTGTCGATGCGTGCTACCAATGGCGAGAGGACAAACGGGGTGCAATTAATTCAACAACCTCGTGAGCGTCATTGATCCTAGTTTCGGACACACAACACACGTCAATACCCAATGTATCCAACGTGCGTGCGAGTGCATCATGTTGACCTATGTCTTAGAGTGCGAACGTTGAACGCCGCCAGTGAAACGGGACCGTGTGGCCTTATAAGGGATTGTTGCCGATAGGTGTCCAGTGAGTGGTGCTAGAAGATAGCGGCAAGTCGTATGACTCCAACGGCATTGCAGTTGCTGTCCATTTTACTGGGAATTTTAGAACGAAGACTAGTAATGGGGATTGGAATGGGAGTAAGAGAAACAGGTGGAAAAGGAACAACGAGGCTAGCGGTAGCATGTTTTTTCGTATCCGCCCTGCTGTATGCAGCATATAAGTCGACGACCGATGCAGTTACGCAAACCGTCACACCACGTTAAGGTCCAGTGTCGTTGCGATGGGTTCATCGGTGCTGCGCCTTGAAACGGTTGTCGAGTAGTATGCTGAAATGCATGCACAAATTACACGAGGGATTTCATCTTACTAGTGCATCGACACCCGCCGCATCTTAGTGTGTAGTCGTGAATCAAGCTGCTCCCTTACCTTTGCTTCCTTGCTTCTCTGCCTGTACATCTTTTAATTTTATTGATCAAAATTTGTCTTAATTTTCCATTATTTTTATTCTCCCTTTACTATCCCGATTTCTTATTAAATTTATAATGTCCATGCGGTTTGTGACAGTTAGTTCCACCGACCAGGTGCCATCGGTACACATTCGGTTGACACTTGATTCAAAGATCCTGACCTTTTACCCGTTTTAAAGTTCACTTCCCCCCGTTTCTGATCCTTGTTAGCTATTGTTATCATTTATTTAATGCTTTTTGATGCATATTGCATGCAACAGCTTATCGGCACATGGTTACCCTTGTCTAAACCTCCTGACCTGACTGTAGACGAAATACCGTGGGTTTGTGACTTTCTGGCTTCTTGGCTTCTATGCATCTCATTCCCTTTTTACGTTCCTAAGGAATTCGCGTTCTTCTAGTTAATATACCAAGAACGCTCTTTTCTCCTCGCGCTGTTATCATCACAGCAACCAGCGCTGCCCTGTCGCGGATTTTTCGCTTCAGCTGGGGACAGCATGCTTCGCTCCGTTTGTTTGTTTGCATAAATAAACGCATCTAATATGGTTTAATTTAGACGACCCTGTTAAAATACTTTTGTGTTCTTTTGAAATTACTGGGCCTTTGCAACACTTTTAGCGAAATAACTCCATTCCAACCTATCACATCTGAAGACCCTTGTCCATGGTGAGTTGTTTGTTTGAGTTTGCGGTGCTGATCTACTACTGTAGATCCATTTCCTACTTTTGTTCAGTAGACAAGGGAAGGTTCGGTTGCAAAAATGGTACAGTTATTTCTCCGAGAAACAGAAGAAGCAGTATCTACGCGAGATCACCACCCTAGTGTTTGCTCGGAAGCCCAAGATGTGTTCTTTTCTTGAATGGAAAGACATGAAGATCGTGTATCGCAGGCATGTTCGATACCAGCGTAGTTTTTTGAACTGGTTCTTTAGATACGCCAGTCTGTATTTTACTTGCGCCATTGATGCGACAGACAATGAATTGATCACACTGGAAATCATCCATAGATATGTGGAAATATTGGACAAATATTTCGGGAATGTAGTCAGCTGTTCCATTTTATCCCCTGTGACTGAATTTTAGGTATGCGAACTGGATATCATTTTTCACTTTGAGAAGGCTTACTTCGTCCTCGACGAATACTTGTTGGCCGGTGAAGTGCAAGAATCAGGCACACGGGAAATTTTATCTGTTATTGATGCACAAGACATCCTGCAAGAAGTGAGTTGCATTCCAAACAAACTTGAATGAATAAATTTATCACAGGATGAAGTCCCACAAAAGTTTTTCGAGGATCAAAGCTTAAACTAACTGCACACTGTGGGGCACATACGAGCGATCGTCTCTAACCCACCAACAGCTGAAAATGACGGCGATGTTCGACAATCGCCCACAAAATGTGATAACTTGCTACTTTGTTGTCCTATACCTCTTCATTACATTCGTATTATCACTGTCGTACCTTTCTCATTGTTTCACGGAGAGTCGCCCATGATATTCATCGGCCTAGAAAAGCGGACAGCATAACTTACCCATATCAGCCTAATAACCACAACTTAGTGAGAAGTGCCATTAGCTCAGATCGACTGTTTCTCATCGAGCTTGGCACTTTGGCTGTGAACGTTTTTTTCGCACTTCGAGGAAGTGTCACCGGATCGTAACCCACAAGTACACGCTACTTCTGGTCCACGACTCACAACCTGCTGTCTGTTTCAGAAAGATTGATGTGGCATTTTAAAAATCAGTCGTTTGCGCTAGTGGTAGCACACTGATAATGGTGGTGCCAGATTTCCTCCTAATCGCGGTAGAGTCAGACTTTTTCACAATTCGTGTGCTAGCGTAATTCATCGAGTAAACATACTATGAAACGAGACTGTCCTCAGCGTATCCGAACGACCATGGTTCATCTCTACGGTCACGCCGTAGTTGTAAGTTGGTGATTGATCTTAGAATTTTGTCCTCACTAGTTTGCTACTAAGACTGCTAGGGATTCATACCTGTTGTTGTGCATTTCACCACACCAAGCGATACGGTCCTCTGATGACAATGCACTTAAAATCAAAAACTGCAACATTATCTACTCCTGGAGTGGAAGTTCTGCTGAGTCGGTAGGTGGCCGAAGAGATGAAACACCTGCCTCGTAACCCACAAGTCACTGGTGCGAATCTGTGTATGTGCGGATACCTTCGCAGAACCCGTAGCCCGCACGCAACTGGTTCTGAGTTCATGTCAGCGAAGCGTCGATGCGGTGCACCGGCGTACGACTGGTGCTTTTAGTTCTGGCTAACTAACTGCCAAGGTTAGAGCACGCGGACATCGCTCTCTTTGACTCAAATCCAACCCTTTTACCAGCTCCTCTGAATCGTTTGACGCTGAGTACCGCAGCTTTCGGCGTATTCATTGTAATGTCTTAACGTATGGCAGGACTGACTCGGTAAGCCACCATTTCTAGTAATCGACGAACAGCCATTTGAAATTGTCGTTCGGTACTTGTACCCATCCGCCGTAGCCAGTTCAGCTGGTGGGCTACATCGCGTATGCACAAGGTCCGTGTTGTTCTTCAAAGGCTCAGTCATCTCTGGACACGGCTAAAGCGATGTCTGCAGTTCTGCGGTACGGCCGGTGTTACTGTATGGGTTAGAAAAATTTTCACTGAAGAAACTGTTTGTTTCTGATTGCTCATATCTGGTGGGAGCTCCAAATGAGCAATGCTAGCTTGGCTGGTGAACTTGTGCGATTTACGTCAGCTAGATCACATCTTCCGTATACCCATTGACCATCTACTTCACCTTGCACAGTTCACCCATGCTGCACCTAATTGGGTGAAGTCGTGGGTTGGTCAGTCACCAAGAATGTAACACGAATATGTCGAGAAATTGACTGAGAGATTCGGTCACTACAGTATAGGTTGGATGGAGGCCCCGGCATCGACAACATCGGCGGTTGAGCACTGTATTCGACATTACTCTGTTACAATCAGTGACCCTCCTGTATTCGGTATATTACATTCGCCTGTATGTCTTACAACTCCACTTGCCTTTTTACTAGCCCCCTTTTCACTTTGGAACAATGGTGTATTACAGGCAAAATGGCGGATGCTTAGTAACTCCCGTTGGATGTCCAGAAAGAGAACCACAACATGGTGAATCGAAAACAAAAGGATGAAATGAAAATCGGTTTGGCGGACTCACCACACTGTTAACACAGAAGCACGCAGAAAGAGCCAACCACAGTTGTATAGGTTAATTCTGATTGTGCAATGTCCGTCGCATTATATCGTCTGTCAAGACATGCAGGCTATATCTAGTAGTGTAGGTGGGTTAGGGCAACACCAAGACGTTTTTAAATACAGGTGAAGTGGGCGGAAACAACCTAATTTGGTTGAGCATTCCAAGGCTGACACATACGAAGAGAGTAAAAGCCGTTGATATTCTAGCCGACTGTGTTGCCTGGCTAACTTGTACTGGTGGCCTCTCAAATTCGTGTTGTGGCTCAGTTCTAATAGGTGACAGCAGACGTGGTTGGGGTTCAACAGCATCTGGTAGGCCACAATAAGGTCGCCAGGTAGGCGCCGGTACCGGCCACTGTAGAATTTTAGAGTCCTAAAGCTTATTTGATAAAGAAGAAGGAATAGGCATTTGTCGAACCTCGTGGCCCGTCGCTGTGTAGGTTCGGGCGCTGCAAGGTCTTGTTTGTGCCCGAGCTGCCACACCTGGATCGCGTATTCCACCCGAGGCCGCACGTGGGTGTTAAGAAACTGCGAACAGACAGAGAAATCAAACCACCCAAATGCCTTCTGCAGCAGGCCAACGTGTTAGTTCCCGGTCTATGACGCCTCAAAGTGTTCTGAGCAGCCCAGATCAGCCTCAACTAATACCCCAAGGTCGCGCTCCTAGGTGACTACTTGCAGGATATGATCTCCAAGCTTTATGTGATGTTTGGCTGGTGGCAAGTTTAAACCAACTTACACTCCCTCGAATTGAACTGGAGCAGATTGTGGAGTGACTACCCATAAGCTCTTTCCAGGTCTCTCTGAAGTGCATCGTGATATGCTGGGTCGGCGATCGTCCGTCACATCTTAACATCGTCAGTGAACAGCAAGAGATCTGAAGTAATCAAACGTGTCCGCTCGTTAATGAACACGAGAAACAGACGCGGCCCCAAAACTGATTCTTGTGGAACACCACATTCGACATAAATCGGATCGGATAGCGCACTTCGGACTCTGAACTGCAATTACCGATCCTGCAGGAAACTCCTGATCCAACCAAAGACAGGTTCACCAACTCCATAGCTTTCTAGCCAGTGAAGCAGAATGCGGTGGTCTAGTCGGTCGAAGGCTTTGGAGAAGTCGAGGTAAATGACGTCTGTCCCTCGGCCGCTTCCGTCTAACTACTGGGTGCAATCGGTAGGTTGGCAGTGCATGACTGGTGCTGGTGAAAACCGTGTTGCTCGGATGCTATGAAGTTGTGGCGTTCTAGATAGTCAAGTAAAGCCTCAGCGACGATTGCCTCCATCGCTTTTGAGAGCACAGAGAGGAGGACCACTGGGCTATAGTTGGCGGGTTCCGAGCGATTACCGCTTTTGAAAATTGAAGTGATTAAGCCATGTTTCCACATGGTAGGCACAATTTGTTTATCCAAGTGGGTTTGGAAGAAATGCGAAAATGGTCCGGCCAGCGTTGTTGCTGCTGCGTTCAGCGTCCTTGGGTGCATATAATCGATCCCGGGAGAGCTGTAGGTGCGTAGTGAGAACAGTTTCTTCAACACAGCTTTGGCAGTAAAATTAATGTTAGTAAGTGTTGAAGTTGGGGTTAGGGATTTGGGTATGTAACATTGGTGGACGTCTTTTCGGAATGTTGGGTCATACTGCATTCGTAGGGCGTCGGCTGCCTCTTCGTTACTCTGTGCGACTCCGACTGGCGTGTTAAGTGGGGGGATACCGAGCTTCAATTTTCGGATGGTGTTAACATGCTTGTATATGAGCTTTTTGTTGTTGGCAAACTTCTAGGCCAAATGTTGTTGGCTATTCAATTTGTCCTCACGGTCAAGCATGTTACAATGGTTGCGCTGGTCACGTAATCACTCCAGGTATCGGAACAAGGACGAACTCCGTATGTGTGCCAAGCTGCATTCCTTATTGACGCGCGCTTGCGAGTTCTACTTCTGATGAAGGAAGAGGGATTTGTGGAGCGAGCCCTCTTTGTTTCCGAAGCGGTTGCGATTAGATTGCTGAAGCGTCCAACAAACTGTATCCAGGCACTGTCAGGTGAGCCACGTTTCAAGAACTTCCAATCGGTCGTCTCAACTAGGTTGTTCAAGATGTTGTAATGTTTGATAGTACATCCTGAGTGTTCCTCAGGATATTCATCGTAACGCACATAGTTATAAGTATGGTGACATGACCGCTTAACCGTAGTGGGTTGTCTATAAATGGCCTGTCGATCATGAGTTCCTCATTTGTAAGGACGAGGTCAAGTACCGATGGTTTGTTATCAGCTCTGTACCTGGTAGGTGAGCTGATACGATTGTAGATCGGGATCCTTGCGATAAGGTCTTGCAGTTCGGCCTTGTGTTTCGCTGGGGGTTGCCGAGCTTTCCAAGTTGTGCACGTTGAAATCGCCGGAAATAAGAACGTGGCTGTAAATTGAGAGTGACCATTTCGTCAGTGATGATATTAAGTGGAAATCTATCTCTGGAGTGAATGATGGGGAGCGATATACAACTGATACGAAGCAGTTATTGTGTCTAAGTCGCAAACGACACCATAGAGAATCAATGACTCGCGTCTCCGGATCATCCAGTGGTTCGCATTATATGTCGTTACGATAGTATGGGATAGCATCACATCCTTTGCTGGGACGATCGTGTCGGAACAAGGACGTACCCTGAATCGCAATCTCAGCATCTGTAATCCCTGAGTGCAACCAAGTCTCGGTTATGGAGATGAGATCCCAAGCGTTTGTTGTCTGGCGCAACCGAAGCTCGGCGATTTTGCTGAGGAGACATTGGGCATTCGTGTATATGCAGGAAAGTGTTTCGGTTCTCAGCAACGGTCCGAGGCACTTGTGGCTAGGATGATAGTTTATGTCGACCGTTGTATGGTCGGCCGCCAGCCGTTTTTTGTGGTATTATCGGCTAGTCGCTTGGAGTTGGGTTCGGTGCCATTGTGATTAGCCCCTCTGACAACTCAGTTTGCACAATGCTTGGGCAGTGGCTGCA